ACTGAGCCACCTTCCCAGTCACAAGAGGACTTTTTTTTTTGTTGCTGTTTTCCTTTTCATTTTGTCTTTTTTGTTCATTTATCTGTCTTTGGAAGGGGCACAGAAAAGGAGGGACAAGGGTGAACAAATGCAGCAGTGGTACTTAACAACACTATGTTGAAAATGAACTTTACAACTTGTGGGTGGGGATGGGAAGGAAAAACTGGAGAGAGTAAAGGAAAAGGTGACATTGTCCAAAAATGAATGTATTTATTACCTGATTTATGTAACTGCAACCTCTCGGTATGTCACCTTGATATGAACAATTTAAAAGAAGCATATTGGGGAGTGGGAAGGTGGCTCAGTGGTAGAGCGCTTGCCTTGCATGCATGAGGCCCTGGGTTCAATTCCTCAGCACCACATAAGCAAAAAGAAAAAAAAAACAACCTGGAAGTGGCGCTGTGGCTCAAGTGGTAGAGTGGTAGCCTTGAGCTGAAGAGCTGAAGGACAGTGCCCAGGCCCAGAGTTCAGGCCCTACAACCGGATCCCCCCCCCCAAAAAAAATAGAAATAAATAAAAGAAACATATCAAGCCGGGCACTGATGGCTCATGCCTGTAATCCTAGCTACTCAGGAGGCTGAGATCTGAAGATCACAGTTCAAAGCAAGCCTGGGCAGGAGAGTCCATGAAACTTTTTTTTTTTTTTTTGGGCCCGGTCGTGGGGCCTGAACTCTGGGCCTGGGCACTGTTCCTCAGCTCTTCAGCTCAAAGCTAGCACTCTACCACTTGAGCCACAGCGCCACTTCCAGGTTGTTTTTTTTTTCTTTTTGCTTATGTGGTGCTGAGGAATGGAACCCAGGGCCTTGAGCATGCAAGGCAAGTGCTCTACCACTGAGCCACCTTCCCAGCCCATCCATGAAACTTTTATCTTCAATTAAGCACCAGAAAACCAGAAGTGGCGCTGTGGCTCAAGTGGTAGAGCACTTGCCTTGAGCTGAAGAGCTGAGGGACAGAGCCCAGGCCCAGAGTTCAAGCCCTATGACCAGAAAAAAAAAAATCAGCATATTGCCAAGTGCTGGTGGCTTACGCACGTAATCTTAGTGATTCAGAAGTCTGAGATCTGAGGACCATGGTTCAAAGCCAGCGTGGGAAGGAAAGTCCATGACACTCTTATCTCCAGTCAACCACCAGAAAACTGGAAGTGGTGCTGTGACTCAAAGTGGTAAAGTGCTAGCCTTGAGCAAAAATAAGAGCTCAGGAAAGCGCCCAAGTCCCGAGTTCAAGCTCCATGACAGACAAAACAAACAAAATGTCAACATATCCAAGCAGGCTATCACGGGGGAAGTGCCTGGGTGAGGAACAGAAAAAGCAATGTGTATACACTTGAATGATGTTTTCCAGAGCCACTGACTTCTCCAAGTTTTCTGTTTCCACACCAGCACTTTAGCCTAGCTGGGTATCCCGAAAAGATTCCATGCTGCCTTGCTTTGAGGCATTGTCCATACCCATTTAAAAAAAAAATATATATATATATAATTCTGCCTATCAGTATTTAGATCTTACAGTAATCAATAGGTATCTGATACACTTCATCTAAGTTCTGTCCAGAACATCTGCAGTGTTTTAGGGGATTCATGGAGCCCTTGAAATATGGCTGCTGGATAAAACATAGCTTGTTTTAGATAAACAACAAATACAGGTTTTGGTGTGGGTGTCTCCCATGTAATAGTTGCACAAATAATGGGAGTGTAGGTCAAGTTTTAGAACACTTGCCTAGGAAGCGTGGGATCCTAGGTTCAAGTGTAAGTGCCACGTACACACACAATGGGTAAAACTATTGCATGAAACATATATTTAAAAGACATTTGAGGGGCTGGGAATGTGGCTCAGTGGTAGAGTGCTTGCCTAGCATTCATGAATTCTGGGTTTGATTCCTCAGTACCATATAAACAGAAAAAAGTGGAAATGGTGCTGGGTCTCAATTGGTGGAGTGTTAGCCTTGAGCAAAAGAAGCTCAGGGATAGTGCCCAGGCCTTGAGTTCAAGCCCATGACTGGCAAAATAAATAAATAAGTAAATAACTATTTGAGGGTGAAATTGATTGGACTATATTGTAAATGTGTGGATATGTAACTTTGAAATCCCTTCTATGTGATCAATGTAAGCTGATGAAAATTTAAGAAAAGAAGAAAAACTAAAACCAGTTGGCTAGTTCAACTGTGGTTGTGCATACTCTGTAATTTCAGTGCTCAGAAGATTGAGAGAAGAGAATCCTTAATTTCAAGGGCAAGCAAATACGTAATGAGACCTTGTCTCAAAAAAACCAACTAAACAAAAAAAGCATATAAACAATTAAAGGGTAATTAGGTGTTTGTATATTTTTCTGTATGAATTCAAATTTAAGGTTTCTACCTTGCTAGAGTTGCTTTCTCTGCTGATAACTAACACTTGAACCATGCCACCAACCTGTTTTTTGCCTGTAATTTTGATTTTTCTGTCCCATCTGGCTCTGAATCTTTTTTATTTTTGTCAGTCGTGGGGCTTGAGCTCTGGGCCTGGGCACTGTCCCTCAGCTCTTCAGCTCAAGGCTAGTGCTCTACCACTTGAGCCACAGTGCCATTTCTGGATTTTTCTGTTTATGTGGTACTGAGGAATTGAACCCAGGGCCTCATGCATGTGAGGCAAGCACTCTACCACTAAGCCACGTTCCCAGCCCCTGGTTCCGAATCTTGATCCTCTGGAAATATTATTTTCCTAAGTAGTTGGGATTACAGGCATGAGCTACCAGCACCTAGTTGGTTTTTGTGTTTTTTTTTTTCCCTCCAGTCCTGGGTCTTGAACTCAGGGCCTGGACACTGCCTTGAGACATTTTGCTCACGGCTAGTGCTCTACCACTTGAGCCACAGTTCTAGTTTTTTGGTGGTTAATCGTAGATAAGACTCTCACAGACCTTCCTGCTTTGAACCATGATTCTCAAATCTCAGCCTTTTTTTGGGGGCCTGAACTCTGGGCCTGGGCAAAGTCCCTCAGCTCTTCAGCTCAAGGCTAGCGCTCTACCACTTGAGCCACAGCGCCACTTCCGGCTTTTTTCTTTTTGCTTATGTGGTGCTGAGGAATTGAACCCAGGGCCTCAGGCATGCAAGGCAAGTGCTCTACCACTGAGCCACCTTCCCAGGCCCTCAAATCTCAGCCTTTTGAGCAGTTAGTAGTACAGGCTTGAGCATCCCATACCATGCACTGTATGTTTTGTTTTATTGGCCAGTCCTGGGGCTTGAACTCAAGGCCTAGGCACTGTCCCTGTGCTTCTCTTGCTCAAGGCTAGCACTCTACCACTTGAGCCACAGTGCCACTACTGGTTTTCTGAGTGGTTTATTGGAGATAAGAGTCTTACGGATTTTCCTGCTTGGGCTGGCTTTGAACCACAATCCTCAGATCTCAGCCTCCTGAGTAGTTAGGATTACAGGTGTGAGCCACTGGCACCTGACTCCAGCTTTTTCTTTTATGTGGTACTCAGGAATCAATTCTAGGGCTTCATGCACGCTAGGCAAGCACTCTACCACCAAGCCACATTTCCAGCCCTGTATTTTTTTTTGGGGGGGGGTGGTCCAATCGTGGGGCCTGAACTCTGAACTCTGGGCCTGGGCGCTGTCCCTCAGCTCTTCAGCTCAAGGCTAGCACTCTACCACTTGAGCCACAGTGCCACTTCTGGCTTTTTTCTTTTTGCTTATGTGGTGCTGAGGAATTGAACCCAGGGCCTCAGGCATGCAAGGCAAGCACTCTACCACTGAGCCACCTTCCCAGCCCCCTGTATATTTTTTTTACTTGATAAATCTGGCAACTCTTCTTTGAGAGGAACCATGGCTTTCTTAGGCTCATGGACTGTAGATGAATAAATTAATATACATTGAAGAAGATTATGTTTTTCTTTTTACTAAGTTACTGATCCATTAACACTGAAATACCAATTGAAGGAAACCCCTTCCAATTCCTTTAGCGCAAGGGGTGGGAAAATTCTTTATTTTTTTGGTCAACCATCATTTGAATACTTATGACATTGTTTACAAATCATACAAAATTATCAATACAGGTAAATAAGCCTGACCCAGCTGCTAAACATACATGTCTGGCCTGTCAACTACCAAATGATTTCAAGAGTTGAATAACAGGACGTTATTATTGTTGTTTCAGGATTTATATTGTTATAGATGACTAAGAGACCAACAATGTCATTGACAATTACAGCAACAATTTCCCAGTTAATGTCGAGAACATAGATACTGCATCAAGTTCTTTAAAGCCCAGATTTAGAAAATTAAATTACATAAACAGCAGATGTTCAGGCTAAGGAAGGGAAAGAGTTGAAACAAACCTAATTATTCAACAGCCTTTCCTTGAATACAGGACTGAAAACTGAAATCTTCACTTCTGTCTATCAAAACCTATCACAGTCACGATGTAGTCTGTTAAATTTAATCCCTACACGATTTGTGTTTCAGCCAATAATCAAGCTGAATTTCCTTCCAAATTGGAGCTGGATGGATATCTTTATTCTTTTATGTTTTTCGAAAATTTTATTTGGATAACGAAATATGGGGGGGGGGGAGAAGCAGGGAAAGAGAGAGGCAATGGAAAGGTTATTTAGAATAAAAGGAAAGGAAGATGTGTAAAGTTGATTGAAAGAGTAATTTAATAATTGTGAATGCCTAATTTTTACTGTATGGCTAAACTATGCACTCTGCGGGGAGAGGGCCCCCAGTTTTATTTTTTTCCCTGAAAGCTCCCGATGCAGACACACACACACACACACACACACACACACACACTCACTCACGTAAGAACTTCTCCCAGTGCAAAGTCTCCTTCGCCCTGCATAGAACAGGCTGCGGGTGGGAGGGATCCCGCTCACTCCCTCCACCCACGTTTTCCACCCCCACCCCTCCCATCCCGCATTCCTTCCCTCCAGCAGCGCGTCGGCGTGGCTGACGTCATGACGCCGCACACGCAGCCCCGCCCCTGCAGTGCTCAGCGCTGGGACGGAGCCCGGGTTCTTCTCAAACCCGGAATGTGAGGCTTGGCTCGGTCCCCCGCTCGCCTCGGCCTTAGCTCGTCGCGACTCCGCTCTGCCCGGGTCGGCTCGGCTGTGTGCCCGGTCCCGTCCCGCTCTTTTACACCAGGCCCTTGGTCCGCTTCCTCGGTCGTCTTCTTTCTCGCTCCGAGAGCAGCAGGGGCGGCCCTGCCCTTCAGCCGGGTGTCCGCGTGGCCGCCGCCGCCGCCGCCCCTCCGAATCCTCCGGGGCCGCAGAGGGGTTCGCTACGGAGGGAGGCGGGGGCCTTCGAGAGGCGGAGGCGGAGGAGGCGGAGGAGGAGGAGGGAAGGAAGATGGCGGCCGTAGAACTCGAGTGGATCCCAGAGACTCTCTACAACACCGCCATCTCCGCGGTCGTGGACAACTACATCCGCTCCCGCCGAGACATCCGCTCCTTGCCGGAGAACATCCAGTTCGATGTTTACTACAAGGTACGGGCCGTGGGCCTGCTCGCTGCGCCCCGGCCGCAGCCCCGCGGGGCCGCACCCCCTTCCACGTCGGCGAACCCTCCCCCCCCCCCCGCAGTTAACCCCTCACCCCCGTAGCAAGAGCAGCCCGCCTCGGACGCGTCTGCTGCCCTGGCCAGTATCACTCAACTCTCCAGATCCCCAGGCTCCTAAGCTTTGAGGCCTGGACATTTCTTCCTGATGAGCCTTGCCTCCTTTTGGCGTCCCCCTGCTACTCGGTGCCTTCCGTCTGCCCCCCCCCCCCCCCGCCTTGGGTAGGCCTTTTGCGGGGAAACTCCTCCATGGCGCCCCTGTCCCACCCAGTCCTTCTCTGCTGTGTTATCTTAGGGCTGTTTTCCGCCTTCTCTTCCCAATTATCAGCTGGACTTTTTTTTTTTTGCTTGTAGTCTCCCTCCCCTTTCCCATCTCGCTGATTCCACCCCCACCCCCACCCCCCTTTCCCCTGCTTCGTGTCCTTTCATTTCTTATTCTTTTCCCAAATCTCAGGAGAGTTAGAGATTTTCTTTTTCTTTTTTTGGGAAATAGTCCGTGTGGTTTATTTGCATATTCTTGAAAGCTTTGATTTTTGTTGTTGTTGTTGTTATTTATACTTGGTGTTAAATTGGCTTTTTTTTAAATTAATGAGTGTTAGTCGACTGAAAAGAGGTGGTATTTTCTTAAAAAAAACAGAAAATTTAAATTGTATACATGTGTTTGAAAGTTGCAATCTTGCCACATTCCTGAATCGCTTCCCTCCATCCCCCCCCCAAAAAAAAATGTGAACAGAAAGTCTCCATACCACTCTCCAAGGAGTTTCAAGGGTAAGTGTCCTTAGAGGTGGACAATTTTGCAGTGTTTTGAGAGGGAGGAGAATTTTATGGACTTGGAAACCTCCCTTTTCCTCTCCTCCACATTTGAATTTGAACACTGGATTTATTATTCTGTTCTTGACTTGAATCAGCATGGATCACTCCAGTTTGCAGTAGCCACCCTTGCAAAATGTGACCTGAAGTAGAAGAGGATTTTTTTTTTTTGGTCTTAAACACTTCCTCTTGGTTTGTAAGTTGGCTGGAACAGTGTAAGCCGATATTTAACAGATGTGTATGTCCTTCTGTATGTCCAGTGTTTTAAGGCAGTTGTTTTACTGGGAAGATTGCCTGCTTTCTCCAACCTCAGAATATTTTTTTCAGGATTTGCAACTGACGTGGTGCATTCTAAACCCAGCTGCTTTGCACCAATCCTGTTTTTTGCAATTATTTTTCCCCTAAATATTTGGAGATTTATTTTGGTTATGCATAGTATTATTTGTGGATTTAGAGGAAATTTTCCATTCTTTCCAGATCTCTTTGATACATTGTGTGTAGCTAAGGAAATTTTTTGCAGTAAGATGCTTTCCTTCCCAAGGGCAAATTAAATTTTCCTTTCTCAACCTGGAAAATTGCAACTTTGTATGTGCTATTTCTGTAAATTTCATTAAATCATGTGTGAACTTGTACAGTTTTTAGAGGAAAGCACTGGTAATTTAATAGTACCTTTACTACTTGAATTCCCTCAAAATACTTGAGTGTCTTTTAGTAATTTCCACATCTAATTGAAGGTCTTCCTCCGAAGGTTATTATTAGGGAGTCTGAACAGATAGTGCTTTTGTCACATTTTCTGTCTCACATATTCAGAATTTTAATATTGCTTCTTTTTGGTGCTTTTTACTCCTTAATAGTTTTACACCTATTGTAAGTATGGCACTGTGCTAAGATGAAGGAAGGTATTTGATCTGTGCCCTGAACAGTGTTGTTATCTTGATCAAGCCTTACAGTTAAAATATGAATTCATCTATTTTTATAGACAAGGACGTTAAGGAATTTAGTTCAAGTTTCAAACCTCATATTTCGAAGTGCCTTTTGCTAAGACAGATTTTGTATTTTGCAGTAGCAAATTATTGTATTGAAAAATATTATAAAACTTTTTTTGGTGCTGGGACTTGAACTCAGAGTCTGGGTGCTGTCTCTGAGCTTTTTTTTGTTCAAGGCTAAAGCTCTACCGACCACATTGGGGGGGGGGTGTAATTGGAGGTAAGAGTCTCACATACTTTACCACCTGATTGGCTTTGAATTGTGATCTCAGATCTCAACCTCTTGAATAGCTAGGATTATATGTATGAGCCAAGGCATCAGACCTAGAACTGTTCTTTTAACTCCTGTAGAAATAGGGTAAAAAATCAGTGAATCTTTTGTTTTTGGGTTTTTTTTTTTTTGGTCCATAGTGGGGCTTGAACTCTGGGCTTGGGCACAGTCCCTCAGCTCAAGGAAAGGGCTCTACCACTTGAGGGACAGCGCCATCTCCGGTTTTTTGGTGGTTTATTGGAGATGAGAGTCTCAGGGAGGGGGCTGAGAAGGTGGCTCAGTGGTAGAGCGCTTGCCTTGCATGCATGAGGCCCTGGGTTCCATTCCTCAGCATCACATAAGCAGGAAAAAAAGCCGGAAGTGGTGCTATGGTTCAAGTGGTAGAGTGGTAGCCTTGAGCTGAAGAGCTGAGGGACAGTGCCCAGGCCCAGAGTTCAGGCCCCATGACCGGACCCCCCAAAAAAAAGAAAAAAAAAGAGTCTCAGGGAGTTTCCTGGCTGGTCTGGCTTTGAACCGTGATCCTCAAATCTCAGTCTCCTGAGTAGCTAGATTACAGGCATGAACCACCAGCACCCGGCTAAGTCAATGAATCTTTTTTTTTTTTTTTTTGGGTCCGGTCGTGGGGCCTGACTCGGCCTGGGCGCCTCAGCTCTTCAGCTCAAGGCTTTCGCTCTACCACTTGAGCCACAGCATCACTTCTGGCTTTTTTTTTTTTTTTCTGCTTATGTGATACTGAGGAATTGAACCCAGGGCCTCAGGCATGCAAGGCAAGTGCTCTACCACTGAGCCACCTTCCCAGCCCATGTCAGTGAATCTTGATACTTCTCTGTCTCTGTCTTTCTCTCTCTCTCTCTTTGTGGTACTGGGGTTTAGAACTCATGGCCTTGCTTCTTGCTTAGCTTCCTTGCTCTGCCACTGCTCTTTACCTCTAGACTCACCTCCAGATCTGCTTTTGGCTGGCTATTTTGGAGATAGGGTGTAGTGGATTTTTCTGCCCCACTATCCTGGAACATAGCTCCACCTTCAGCCTCCTGAACAGCAGCATTGCAGGCATAAGCCATAGTGCTAGACAGGACTCCTGTTTACAGAAATACAAGAAGGAAAAATTTTAAATACTATACCAGCTCATACTAATAGGTACTTTTTAAGGTACTTTAAATTTACATATATAGGTACTCATCCTCTCCCCAACTTGTAAAAATTTTAGGATATGTACTGTTTCTTTTTTTTTCTTGTCAGTCGTGGACCTTGAACTCTGGGCCTGAGCGCTGTCCTTCAGTTCTACAGCTCAAGGCTACTGCTCTACCACTTGAGCTACAACGCCACTTCAAGTTTTCTGGTGCTTTATTGGAGATAAGAGTTTCACGGACTTTCCTCTGGGCTGCCTTCGATCCTCAGATCTCAGCCTCCTGAGTAGCTAGGATTACAGGCATGAGCTACCGGTGCCCGGCATGTACTTCTTGTTTCCAATTTTCTCCACTTTAGAGTTAAAGAGGAACTATCAGATCTCTCTGCTAGTACTAATTTCTGTACATGGTTATGGACAAAATTGTAGTTATTTTTGTAATCAAGGTTTCCCAAACTTCTTGGTTGGTATAATCTAGTATTACTGTATTAGTTTTGATCAGTACCTTTAGGAGAGAGCTGTGGGATGAATGAGGTAAAATAGGAATGTTGAATGCTCCTTAAGGAGGGATAGGAGAGATAAGTTGTTGAGTAGAATGTAAAATGAATATGAAGTGGCCGAGTGCAGGCAGCTCATGCCTGTAATCCTAGCTACTCAGGAGGCTGAAATCTGAGGATCATGGTTTGAAGCCAGCCCAGGCAGGAAAGTCGGTGAGACTCTCATCTCCAATTAACCACCAGAAAACCCGGAAGTGGCGCAGTGACTCAGAGTTACCAAAAGAGCTCAGGGACAGCACCTGCATCCTGAGTTCAAGCCCCATGACCGGCACCCCCTCATCCTCCCCCAACATATATATTCCAATGGCTTCCTTTTTTTTAGGGAGGGGGGTCGGTCATGGGGCTTGAACTCTGGGCCTGGGCGCTGTCCCTCATCTCTTCAGCTCAAGGTGAGAGCTCTACCACTTGAGCCACAGCGCCACTTCTGGTTTTTCTGGTAGTTTATTAGAGATGAGAGTCTGAGAGACTTTCCTGGCCAGGCTGGCTTTGAACCGAGACCCTCAGTTCTCAGCCTCCTGAGTAGCTGGGATTACAAGCATAAGCTACCGGCGCCCAGCTGGAATATATGTTTTAGCCAAATGTCAGAAACAGAGTGAGAGGTTAAATATACCAGTTAGGGTAGAAATTAATTATGGAGCAGAGACTGAACAGAAACAATTAACAAATCTTTCCCCCTTTTGTCTTCTTTACTGTACATAAAGTATTTGTTCTAAATTAGAGTTGGGAAAAGAGTGCTTCTTTCTCTGAGGCTTGTAAGGAATAGTTACCATAAATGAGGAGGTGGTCTGCTGAGGGTAAGGAAGTTCGAATGGTATATTTTTGTAGGAAAGTTGTAAATGGCTACTGAGGTACATGAGAAGGGTACCTGACTAAAACTGTGTTAAAGAATAGACAGGGAGGCTGGGAATGTGGCTTATTGGTAGAGTGCTTGCCTAGCATGCATGAAGCCCTGGGTTCGATTCCTCAGTACCAGATTCACAGAAAAAGCTGGAAGTGGTGCTGTCAAGTGATAGAGTGCTAGCCTTGAGCAAAGAGAAGCTCAGGGATAGTGCCCAGGCCCTGAGTTCAAGCCCCATGACTGGCAAAAAAAAAAAAAAAGGGCTGGGAAGGTGGCTCAGTGGTAGAGTGCTTGCCTTCCATGCCTGAGGCCCTGGATTCGATTCCTCAGCACCACATAAGCAA